GAAATGCAAATCGCGAACCACCACCGCCACCAGCCCGGCGAAGTAACCGCCGGCGGGCCATCGCCACCGCCCCGCGACACTCCGGAGCTCCTGCGGTTGTTGACCTAATCGCCGGCGACTCATCTTCCTCCTCGCCAGCCTCGTCGCCGTCGCGTGCACCAGATACCACGAGCCCACCATTGCATCAGCCGAACACCCTCCCTCTCAACGCCAATCCACCGCCACCGTTAGTTGAACCCGCGCCACCTAGGGTACAACGAGCACCCTCGCGATATCCGCTCCTCCATATCCGCTACCCGATTGTGCCTCCGCCATCGCGTCCACCGTCGTCGTCGCCTGAAGCAGAAAATAGCCCGTCGCCGTCGCCCCCTTCTACACACCCACCATCACCACCAGCGAGAATGATCGACATCAACCAGCCTCCTCCTTCATCACCAACAGATTCAAGCCCTATTTTGGGCAATGAGGTACATTCTGATTCACGTTTGCATGAACTGGTAGAGGGACTTACAACCTCTATTTCATCTGAGGATGARCATTTTATTCCTCCTGGTTCTCCCTCTACTGTGATTAGTCCACAAAAAGTGTTCCTTCTTACTTGGTATAATCACTCTTGCACACGGATGCCCGCTGTTTTGACCGATCCCATACCCCACACTGGTGAGGATGAATCGGTAGGGCTTGAGGACATTGTTTTAAATGATCATGAGGCTGCGGTAGAACCTGTTTTAGACACTGATATAGAGGATACTGCAGAACCCGATTTAGAGGCCGAGGTACGAAATTTGACCTCAATCCCTACTAAAAAGAGAAAGGGATTGGGACGTATCTTTGCTACGAGGTCTAAAGCCGTGCTCGGTCAGCCTTTAAAAAAGAAACCAAGGCGTGCACCACCTTCTGTCCAGCCTAAGCACTCGGTTTTAACGCCTAGGAAATCACCTCGCACGGCTGTGGATAGGCCTGAGGATACAGCCGGCCCTTCTCGGGTACGGGCCACACGTAGTTCGTCAAACACTCGGTCCATTCCTAGGCCTCCGATGCGCTTTGATGGGTTTAGTTCTGAGGTTGCGCGGCTGCGATTTGACAAAATAAAAAACAAGCAGATTTTACCGGATAAAGGGTTCGATAGGAGGAGTGTCGATGAGTTTAGTTTTATTCGAGAGGTGATCGATAA